TCTTCCTCTCCTCTCCTCTCCTCTCTTCTCTTTTATTCTCTTTTATTTTTCCTCTCCTCTCCTCTCCTCTCCTCTCCTCTCCTCTTCTCTTCTTTTATTCTTCCTCTCCTCTCCTCTCCTCTCCTCTCCTCTCCTCTCCTCTCCTCTTCTTCTCTTTTATTCTTCCTCTCCTCTCCTCTCCTCTCCTCTCCTCTCCTCTCTTGTATTCTGTTCTCTCCTCTCCCCTCCTATTCTCTCTTCTCTTGCATTCTGTTCTATTCTGTTCTGTTCTACTCCATTCCATTCCATTCTCATCTCTTTGTCATAACCCTGACATTTTCCGTGTGTATGGTTTTGGTTTGATTCACACAGCTATTGCAAAAACACCGGATGCCCAGCACGAGGTCAGAAAATGGGAACTCGGCTGACATCACTGGGTGGGAATTGAGCCAGTGAAGACGAGGAAGGAGGGTTGCGGCTCGCATTGGGTTCAAAAACACAAAACTGCGACAGGCGGGAGAACCTCAGCGTTGTTCAAGGAATCCTTGATTAAACTGGGAATACCGGGGAGCTGCGGAGCAATCAGGGTTTTCAAGACTGGGGAGGACAAAGGCCCTCGGATTAGTGGCAAGACGGAACGTCATGCATGCCCCTTCCAAGCCAGCGAGCGCATAAAAAGCCACAGGTGCCCGATGGGTCTGATGGGAGGCAGCGCGTCCTCATTTATCCGAAATTCAATTATCAGAACAAGGCGAGGCGCCCACGTTCAGTCCTGCTGAATTACATAAAAATGATCTGTGCTTACTGTGTTTTAAGGAATTAATGAGTCGTGAACGGTAGAAGAGGCGAAGGAGGAATGCGCAGTGTTTACTTATTTTTTTTTTTTAAAAAAACTCTTTCTTTCCTGGGTCGTGTTGCAAACACGAGCAGCCGCTCTGGTGCATCTTCATAGATCAGGATGGAGGCAGAGGTGGGGGCTCAGCATTGGCTGGGTTTGCGTGACATCCTCTGGGTAACTCTAGTTTAGTGAAGAGAAGGACTGGGGGGGTGGGAAACACATGATAGTGGTCGTCCAATATTTGAGGGGCTGCGACAGAGAAGAGGAAGGGCTCAAGCTATTCTCCAAAGCACCTGAAAGCAGAACAAGAAGCAATGGGTGGAAACTGATCAAGGAGAGAAGCAACCTAGAACTAAGATGTTTCCTGACAGTGGGAACAATTAACCAGCAGAACAGCTTGCCACTAGAAGTTGTGGGTGCTCCATCAATGGAGGTTTTAAGAAGAGATTGGACAACCATTTGTCTGAAATAGTACAGGGTTTCCTGCCTGAGCATGGGGTTGGACTAGAAGACCTCCAAGGTCCCTTTCTATTCCATTCCATTCCATTCTAGTCTATCTCCTGAGGCCTCCGCGCGGCCTGCTTTTGGCCAGCAGAATGCTGCAGGAGGCCATGGAGCGCCGAAAATGGGCTGCAAGAGGGCCGCATGCGCCCCATTTCGCTGTCCTTTGATATTTCCAGGCCGGCCCTGCAGGCCAGATTTAAGCACCCCATGGGTTGGATTTAAGAAGCCCCTCAGGCCGTGTTTAAGCACCCCACAGGTCAGATCCGGGCCGTGAGCCTTGAGTTTGACACCTGTGCTTTACACGCTAGTTGCCAAAAGCCTGAATTTTGATTTCGTGATTGTGGGGATGCTGTGACAGTCATTAAGTGTGAGGACCAGTCCTCAATCACCTTTTCGGTAACTTTGTACAGTTGCCAAAGAAATGGTTTGTAAATCGAGGGCTTCCTGTCACCTGCATAACGACCTCATGGAGTCGTCCCACACAGGGTCAGCAAAACCAGAGTGAGGATTGATTTGCTGAGAGTTTCGTAGTCAACAGAGATAAAATTCAACTTTGCCTTTTTAAAAACAAAACAAAACACCCCATCGCTTCGCTTCAATGGAGATGCAGCCCAGCCCAGGCTCTTCAGATGGGTTAGGGGAAAAAAAACCTCCCATCATCCCCGGGCAACAAGTGGCCAAGAGTGATGGGAACTGTAGTCTACAAAGGCTGCAAGCTTGGCCTGGAGTTGGGGAAAGACTGCCAGCAGGCATGTGTGGGGGACACACTGTCACCTCCCCGTTCCCAAGGTTAAGCAAAATGGCGCCCATCACTGCCAGAAAATGAACGTTAAAAGAGAAACGTTGGAACCGGTCATCTTTGAAGACCACGAAAGCCCTCTTCTCATTCCTGGCCTGCCAAATGAAGCCAATTAATCTTGACGTGAGGCTATTATGTCCTTCCGAGCAAAGCTGAGTCCCCTGTTGGTGACTGGCAAGCTTTCAGCATGGCTCATTCCCAAGCCGATCGATCGGAGGTGTAGAAAGTTAGCACCAGGGGTGGAATGCTACCGGTTCGCCCTGGTTCAGACGAACCGGTAGTGAATTGTATGGCCTGGGGAGGCTGTTTCCGCCCTCCTGGAGGTTCAAGGAAAGCCTCTGGAACCCAGGGAGGGCGAAAACAGCTCCCCTGCCACGATGCAGGAGGCCAACTAGGCCACGCCCAGCATGGCCACGCCCAACCAGCAACCGGGCAGAGAACCCGTGGCTAAAATTTTGAAGCCCACTCCTTGGTTAGCACCCACCCCTCTCCTAGAAGAATGAAGTATTTTGAGAAATATTTCTTTTAAAAAGGCAGAATATTATATTCCCCTAAAGGATGAATGGAGGAATATCTCTTGGAAAACAGCCCCTGCCTTCCTTAATAGCAGATATTTTTTTTGCTCGTTAAGAAAGACTGGGCGAAATAGTAGTCCATACACAAATAGAAAATATAATTTAATAACATAATCCAAAGAAGTCAAGACAGTAGATGGGAATTTAGGATCAGGTAATTAAACTGTATTATTAATATTAATTGTGTGTTAAAATATATTGTGAGCTTAAAATATTAAGAACTGGAAGTTGGGTGGGATTTTGAGGTACACTTCCGGGATCAATATTTTTTAATATTTGGCGTTATTATTAATCCTACACATTTGAATATTGAAGTTGTGGTGAAACTATGAATAATTGTTACAAATATTAAATAATAGTATTTAGGGACAATAAATGCAGGGCGCAAAGAAATGTTATTTATGTTTCAATGAATTAATGGGAAAATGAGAAATGGATTATGAAAAGAGACTAGTGATGTTGAAGCTGGAAGATTAGAATTACACACATCTATTTGTATTATTATTGATACTGTTATTTAAAAAAAGACTTGACCCAGTCAATGCAATGTCCACAAAATATGTATGTTTATATTGAAAAGTAAAAATTAGGAAAAAAGAAAGAAAGACTGAGCCAGCTTATCTGCAAGACCTCCAGCTCCAGGGTGATGGGATTAAGACATGATCCTCCAGGACATAATAGGATTAAACCATCTAGCAGCAGAGCTCGCCACATGGCACAATCTCCTAAGGACATTGCATCAGCCAAGCTTCAACCAAACCTGGGAGCTCAGACAACGTCAGCTATGACCCCTGCATAGTCCCGTGGGAATTTGACAGCAGCCAATAGAATATATGTTCTTGCACAGGAACAGAAAGCTCAAGTTCAAAGCCCAAGAGAAGGTATGGGGAAAAAAACCCCACTCTCAACTCCATATGGTCAGCTGCCCAAGATCATCCATGTGGTTCTGCTTCATCATTAAACCCTCTTTCCAACCAGCCTCCATGTTCTGCCCTAGTTGGGTGATAAAACGTCCACAAGAAAACAAGCAAGCTCAGAGAGCATCAAGGACCCCACAGTCATCGTCTCTTTCTCCTTCTCCTTCTCCTTCCTCTTCCTCCTCTCCACAAACCCCTCTCCCTTCTAGCACTGATGATGTTCCCTAGTTGGGTAACGAAACGTCTTCAAGAAACTAACCAAGCTCGGAGAGCACCAAGGACCCTATCACACATCTACCCTCTCAATCAGAGCAAACAAAATCTCTGACATGGTAGCAACCCTTCACAAGGCTTATCAACACTAATTTCCCTTTCTGGATTTGGAGCTCAAACAATGAAGTTTCCATTTTGGGGGGGGGGGACAAAGAGAAGAGGGAGATTTTCCAAGTTCAGAAACGTCGGGAGAAAGCTAATTGCCTCATTTCTTTGTTGGCAGCCGTTTTACATACAAATTCTCAAAAACAACCCCCCAAACAAAGTTTTGAACTCTTGTTTGAATTGCAGAACAGTTGGCTCCCCTCCTCCTACTCCTGTTGTGGTTTGCTGGCAGCCTGTGCAAATGGCAATGGAGTCGGACAGTGGGGAAGAAAGGGGGACCAGTCCGGGAGTCCGGAGAGGATTTGGACGAGGGTCCTGCGTCCGATGCAGAGATGGGGCCAGGACCATCTGGGAGTGGGGTGCTGCCTCCGGAGTCTGACAGCAGTGAGGCGGAGGAATAAGGGGAGCCTGTTCCCAATGTGCGTGTGCACAGAGCTGCTAGAAGGTGAGAGCAGCTGAAACAAAAGGGGCAACTCGGGAGTAAGGCTGGGAGGTGATTGTCCCTCCCCTAAGGTATAAAGGAAGTGCAAAGGTAGAGAAACCTTTGCAGGAAGCAAAGTTGTTCGTTGTTCAGATTAAACCTTGAAGCTCTGTGTGGACTTTGTACTTCGGTTGTTGTTTTTTTATTGTTCATTTGGCACTTTCGTTGTTGGCAGCAATTCAAAGGAGAGAAAGGTGGGTGCTTATCTCGAGGGACTGTTTGGGACTCATTACAGGCTAGAAATGAACATAATTCCCAGTGCTGAAATGAAACAAGAGTTGTTTTAAGTAAGCGTGTGCTTACTTACGGTCTCGGAAGCCTTGGTCAGAACAGCTCCCGAGAGGTTACGATAGAGCAGTGATTTAAGGAACCTCTGGAAAATCTGCAAGAGGGACAATAAATCCAGAAGAAATCCAGTTTTTCAAGATGCTCCATCACAAGGGGAGGGCCAAGTGGAAGGCGAAAAGGAGTGCCTGCTTACATGTTCCATAAATCTCTGGATTTACAGCCAGTTGGAGCCTGCTGTCTCTTTGCTCCCGGATGCTCCTGGCTGGCTTTTTTGCATTGCTATAGGAAGCCACACTCACCCCTCCCCAGATTAAAATATGCCTTATTCTCAATATTAAAAAAGAGGCAGGATAGAATATTTCCCCAAAGGAGAAACGGAGAAGAGTCTTAACGAAGGCAGAAAACAGATAACCGATTAACAGAGTTGAAAGGGACCTTGTAGGTCATCTAGTCCAACTCCCCGCCCAAGCGGGAGACCCTACACCATTTCTGACAAATGGCAGTCCAGTCTCTTATTGAAAGCCTCCAGGGATGAAGCTCCCACAACTTACGAAGGCAACTTCTGTTCCATGGGTGGATTGCTCTCCCTGTCAAAAAGTTTCTTCTTATGTCCAAGTTGAATTTCTCCTTGTTCAGTTTCCATTTTTCCTTGTCTGGCCTTCGGGTGCTTTGGAGAATCTGTGGCAGCCCCTCAAATATTGGAAGATGCTATCCTGTCTCCCCTGGCCCTTCTCTTCCCTAGACTAGCCACAGCCCTGTTCTTCCTGCCATAGGAAAACAGCTCGAAGTGACTGGCCTTTAGGGAATGCAGATTCGTAAAGATTTTATTCATAAAAATGCCTTCAGCCTGGCTGGAGGTGATGGGAATTTACATTCCCCACCCCCCAATTCTAAAGATGGGATAGGACCTTTAGGACATAAAAGGATTAACCAGGGGTGGGATTCAGCTGGTACGGACTGGTTCAGCCGGATACAGACCGGTAGTTCTGGCTATCATTTGGCCGCACCCATCTGCCCCTGGACTATTCTATCCTATATTTCCTTTGTTTGAAGCCCAGCTGATCACCTGGGGCTGCAGTAAAAGGTAAGTTTTCTTGCTATTTTCAAATGTACCGTGCATGCACAGTGCATGCTTACTGGACCGGTTGTTACACCGTTTGAATCCCACCACTGGGACTAACCCACCACCGCTGAAATAGTAAAAAGGCGCATGGCTCACTGCTGGAGAAAGTCAGCACCCAGCCATCCACCTAGGGAATGAAATTTTGGGGGGGAATATTACTCATTTTAAAAAATAGGCGGGATAGAATATTTCCCCCAAAAGGAGAAATGGGGGGAAAATCTTAAGGGAGGCAGAAACCAGCCCCAGTCTGAGGAGGCAGAAACGGAGGAGGCCAGGTTTTAGAAATGCAGACTTGGTAATCCATTCAGAAAGACTGGGCCAGACGAAGACTCCAGATAAGCAACACAATCAGGCAAGCCAAAGGTTGAGAAGATTAGCTCAGACAGACAACCCAGGATTTACATTTTCCCTTTTGCCTATAGAGCCAGCCATGACCCTTACGTGACCCCATAGGAATCAAGAAGGTATAAAACCCCACCCACTCTCAACGCCGTTTTGTCAAGCTGTCCCAGAACCGCACGCTGTGTGTGTTGATTCTGCTCATCCAATAAATGGACCTTTCTTTCTTAAGCAGCTTCTATTTTATTCCCGGCTTGGCACTGGAACTGGATTTTTCTTCCAACGCTACATTGTACAACCCCCTGGAGCATCTCAATCAGAACCCTGTAAAGATCCACCCACTCACTCAGCCATTGGGGCAGCTACCCCAAAAACATGTTGCTGTCACTGAAGTTTCTGGAAACCAAATAAACTTTCATGTTGTGGTTCGCCAGCAGTCTGTGCAGACGGCAGCGGGATCAGACAGTGGGGAAGAATGGGGACCAGTCTGGGAGTCTGGAGAGGACTCAGATGAGGATCCTGCATCCGATGCAGAGATGGGGCCAGGACCATCTGGGAGTTGTGTGCTGACTCTGGAGCCTCCGGAGTCTGGCAGCAGCAAGGAAGAGGAATAAGGGGAGCCTGTTCCCAGGGCGCGTGTGCGCAGAGCTGCTAGAAGGCAAGAGCAGGTGAAGCAGAAGGGGCGACTCGGGAATAAGGCTGGGAGGTGATTGCCCCTCCCATAAGGGATAAAGGAAGTGCAAACATAGAGAAACCTTTGTAGGAAGCAACGTTGTTCATTCTGTTTGGATTAATCCTGGAAGCTCTGTGTGGACTTTGTACTTCGGTTGGTTTTTTCCTAGCTAATTTGGCACTTCAGTTGTTGGCATTAATTCAAAGGAGAGAAAGGTGGGTGCTTATCTCGAGGGACTATTTGGGACTTATTACCGGCTGGGAATGAACAGCGTTGAAATAAAACAAGAGTTGTTTTAACTAAGCATGTGCTTAATTACAAGTAAGCCTTGGTCAGAACACGTCTTTCCTTGCATCCAGCCTCCATTTCATTTCCAGCATCTTTCTCCCAGCTTGGAACCGGACTGGAATTTTCTTTCTACACTGCTGAAGTAGCGTGGGAGGAATATATACATTTACAGAACTGTTGGACATATTATACAGATAGTTCCTCGACTTACAATTCAAAGTTCAAAGTGACCGTTCAGAGTTAAAACGGTACAGAAAAAAGTGACTTATTATCGTTTTACGACCGTTGTAGCATCCCCCATGGTCACATAATTAAAATTCGGACACTGGGCAATTAACTCATCTTTATGACGGTTGCAGTCTCCCCGGAGGGGGTGTCCCACAATCCTCTTTTGCGACTTCTTGACAAGCAAAGTCAATGGGGAAGCCAGATTCACTCAACAACCGTGTTACTAACTTAACAACTGCAGTGATTCACTTAACAACGGTGGCAAGAAAGGTCACAAAATGGGGCAAAACTCACTTAACAACTGTCTCGTTTAGCAACAGACATTTTGGGCTCGATTGTGATCATAAGGACTACCTGTACTGGAAATCGTATGTTAACTAATCGAGGGCCCTACAAAGTTACTGATAAACAGCCTCCAAAATCTTTTAAACTTACACAAATGTAAGCATTAATTAAACACTTATTCCGAATCTTAAATACACACACAAGCAAACACACCACACTTAATTAGCACAATGTAAACATAATTATCGGACGCGATGGCTCAGTGGCTAAGATGCTGAGCTTGTCGATCAGAAAGGTCGGCAGTTCAACGGTTCGAACCCCTAGAGCTGCATCACGGAGTGAGCTCCCCTTACTGGTCCCAGCTTCTGCCAACCTAGCAGTTCGAAAGCATGTAAAAACGCAAGTAGAAAAACAGGGACCCCTTTGGTGAGAAGGTAAATGCGCCTTTGGCATTTAGTCATGCCGGCCACATGACCACGGAGACGTTTTCGGACAGCGCTGGCTCTTTGGCTTTGGAACGGAGATGAGCACTGCCCGCTAGAGACGGAAATGACTAGCACGGATGTGCGAGGGGAACCTTTACCTTTAAATATAATTATAACGCTCACAGATCAAAGGAAGAGACCCAATTCTCATCACTTGATTTAATCAATCCCTTGTCTGGGATCAACACATATACAGCCCCACCCGCCCTGAAGGGATCACTCTGAGATCAGTACGCACACACTTCCACAACCAGGTATCTGGATTTCCTTTTTATTTATTCTTGCTATTTATTCTTCTTCATCCCAGGATTGAGTTGAGGTTCTTGCACAATCCAAATCATTCTTCTGATAATAGGCTGGGCAACCACAGAGGCCCAATTTTCCTCGAGCCTCTGGAAGCACGAAAATGGCCTCTCCTGGGCTCCAGAGGCCCTCCGGAGGCCAGAAACGGGCCCGTTCCTGGCCTTGTGGAACTTCTGGGAGGCCCATTTTTCCACCCTCTCTGAGCCTCCGCACGGCCCCGTTCTTCCCTGGTATCCAAAATTGGTCTGCATGAAGACTCCTAGGAGGGCACAGGGCGGGGTGTGAGAGGCCAGCCAGGGGTGGGGTTTGTAAACCCGCAGCAGTGCACCCCTGCATTTTGTACCAAGCTCCCCCTGACGTGATGACTCCAATTCCCATCATCCCCAACCCTCCGTCCAGCTGGCTGGGGAATTGCCCCCCCCCCCCCCCCAAAAAAAACCCCACAGGTGGGAGGAAAACGCTTTCTTAGCACGTCAACTCTGAAGTTTCAATACCAAACCGAAGCCAGGAATTCTGTTATTTTTAAACCTCGACGCTCTGAAATCAAGTCGCAATTGTGCTCATAATTGCCACTCAGATACAGGAGACACACACACACACACGTACACACACACCCTCCTCCTCCTCCTCCTCCTCCTTGCTGGTTTCTTAGCTTTCGTATATTTTACGCTATTGTCAACACACCGAGACCCTGCTTGACCCTGCTTAAACATCCCTGCAGGGATGTTTAAATTGTTCTCGAATAATAATAATAATAATAATAATAACAACAACAACAACAGAACACCACACAGATAAATTTGCAGCTGTCTATTCAGGCAGTTGTACATTTGTGGGTTTGCTGTTCCCGCAATCAGACTGACAGCTCCACTCCTGCACTGAAGAGAAAAATAAATGACATCGCTTCATTTTT